CTTTTTACTCTTTTAGTGAAGTCTTTTGATGCACACAAGTTTTTAATTTTTAGTATTGACATTCATTTTTTCTTTTCTTTCTGTCTTGCCTTGTTAATGACATTTTGTTTTCTTCCTGTAAGACATTCTTGATGTCATCCCACAACTCTTCTGGGTTTCTGTCATTAGTGTCCTAATGCATCAAATGTGTTCTTAAGGTGATCTCTAAATTCAGGTGCTGTATGTATAAGGCCAAATTTTTGCTCCGATGGATTTGTTTACATTTTCTTCAGTTTCAGCTTGAACTTGCATGTAAGCAATTGTTGGTCTGTTCCAGTCTTTTCATGGCCTTCTTTTGGCTGATGATATGAAGCTTTTCCACCATATCTTTCTATACATTTAGTCAATTTGATGTCTGTTTTCCATATGGTTAAGTCCAAGTCCATAATTGTCTTTTATGTTGTTTAAGAAAGTATTTGCAATGAAGAAGTGGTTGGTTTTGGAAAATTATATAATACAATCTCCATTCAATTCTATGACCAAGGTCATAAAGTCCAACAACTTATCTTTCCTTCTTGTTTCCAAATTTTGCATCCCAATAACCAGTAACTAACAATACATCTTGATTGTATATTTGACTGATTTCAGACTGAAGGAGTTGGTAGAATTCTTCAATTTAGTAGTTGGTGCATACATTTGAATAATACTGGCATTAACTGGTATTCCTTGTAGGCATATTAATATTATCCTATCAGAGACAGCATTTACTTTAAGAAAGATAGATATTGAAATATTCTTTTTTTCATAATGAAATATTTTATCTATTTATTTATTGGTCTTTTTTTCCCCTTCCTTTTTATTTAAAATTTTTATTGTGATTAAGTGAAAGTTTACATGGCAAATAATTAGTTTTACATTCAACAAATCATATTTTGTTGCACTGCAATTATTGTAATCTCCTCCATGTACTATCCTTTACCAGTATATACCTATTCCCCCTTTTCTTTTTTCTTTTTTTTTTATGGTTTTAGTGTGACTTATGCGATAGTTTACTTGGCAGAACATAGGGTTTACACTCATCATCTAATTGCAATGCTTACAATCTCCTCCGTGCATCATCATTCAACAGTAGTTGCTTCTATCCCTTCTATATTTGGGGGGGATGTACACAAAACCACTCAAGAATATGTAATCATTTAAACAACCAAAGGGTACAATCAGCAAGACTCCCTCCTGACCACCAACACCTGGCCACCAACACACAGGCTTTCTCTTTCCCTGAGTCTAGAGTCCTCAGCTGCTCTATTTCTCCATGCCCTCATCTCTGTCTCCATCTCTGGTGTTGCTGCTATTCTGAATAGAGTCCCACATCCCACTTATCCTCTTCTTTATTGGTGGACCTACAGTCCTCTGTTCCTGGACTGTAAGATTAACTACCCCCCTCTTTTTGTTACAAAACTTCAATCTTTACAGTTGTGACAATTGCAATTAGTCAAGGTAACAATTACTCATTATTGAATCATAAGAATCTTATGCCTGTCTCTTTTCATCAGACTCTAGACAATATGAATACTATCCAGTGGGGATTCTACCTTCCCCTTCACACTCTGAAACTAAACTCCCCCTTGAAAACTTGTAAGCCAGTCACTTTTGCCTCCATAGCTCCCCAATTTTAGGTAGTCAATGTCTAAGTTGCCTGTCCCTATCAACCTGATATACAGAGGGGATAGGATTAATCCTTGATGTGAAGACTCCTTTCCTCTCAGTTGGTATTTTGAGCTACTACATCAGTAAGTATAGGTCAAGTAAATCAACTTGTAGCAATTTACACTTGTTTCATTTATGTATCAAAAGATTTTTTGAGTGGAAGTCTGCTGAGAAAATTGGCTTTCCATTTATCAATTCATACTCATTTTGAATCATGACACATTGCAATTCCCTTCATTCATCTTTCCTACACCTTTCTGTCTTCTGAACTTATCCCTGGGCAAATACTACCCTTTTGATCCTGTGTGGTTGATTGTTCTAAGGAGTACATATCGCCCTGGCATTACTGTTCACCTTATAGGTCTTATCTATTGTTTGGATGAAAGTTGAACCATGGGGATGATTTGGGTTCAGTACTTAAAGGGTATCTAAAAGACATAATCTCAGAGGTTCCACCTTGTTTTATGAGACCAGTAAATCTGATCTTTTTTAGGACTTGAAGTTTTGTGCCACATTTTTCTCCCACTGTATGCAGGACTTCCTATTGCGATCCATTTCAGAGTATTCGGCTGTGGGAACAGGCATTATCTGGTTCTTCTGGTTTGAGGGTCATGTGATCCATTAGCCATTTGGACAACTTGTTATCTTATATCTTTGATTTTCCTCACTTTTATTTGCTATGAATGGAAGTAGAGCAGTCATTGCACCTTAGATGGCTGCTGACTAGCTTCTAAGACCACATTCACTACTCACCAAAGTGCAACATAGAATATTGTTATTTTAGACAATGTGGTGCCAGTTGACCTTGGTGTCCTTCAAGACTATGTTCCTGCGCCCTTTGGCCAGCGACTCATAACTTGTAGGTGTTTGGTTATGGCTAAGAAGTTTGCATAAATTTGCCCAGTGAGCCCTGGTGTGGCAATGTAGGATAATGTACTGGACCACAAGGTTGCTTTGAACTGCAAGGTCAGTGGTTCAAATTCACCAGCCGCTCCTTAGAAACCCTATACAGATTCACTATGAGTCAGAACCGATTCGATGCCACGTAACGACAATGCTCTACTATATTTATGGATATATTTGTAAAACATAAAGGCATAGTAGAAATATCCTCTATCAAACCTATTTATATTCATGGTGTAATCCCATTCACCTTGTTACCCTTATTCAGTATTAGTAACTATCCATGCATCCACTTGCATATTATTTTTAACCACTGTTACTGCAGAATTGTATATATAATAGTAGTTACCTTTGTTGCATTTAACTCTTGTACTCTTCCCAGTGTCTTCTTTTGACTTGATCATTTTGTGCTGACCTCCCAATATTGCATGTTGCCTTTCCCTTCACACAAGTGAATCCAGTTAGTGATTTACCTTCTTTTCTACTACCACCTCTGTTAACCCTCAAAGAATGTTTTGTTTTGTTTTGTCTTTTTTGTGTGTAAACCTTTCCTTGACTTTTTACAGAAGTGAACTCCTGCAGTATGAGACCTTTTGTAATTAACTGGTTTTACTCAGCTTATACTCTACATTTATCTATGATAGGAAGTGTTTCACAGATTCTTTGCTACTTTTTAATATTAGTTTTCCTTTGTGTGCATGCACCATCATTTGTCAATCCATTCATCTGTTGATTGGCACTTAGGTTATTTCCATCTTTTTTCTGTTTTAAATGATGAAACAATGAACATGGGTGTGCATAGATCTGCTCTTGTTATGACTATCATGTATTGAGAGTTTATGAGATTGCTGGATCAGATGGTATTTCTAGTTCCAGTTTTTTAAGGATCTATGGAGGGTCAGAGAAAAAGAGGAAGACCCCCAACGAGACTCAAGCGTGGCAA